GCATGTAAATTATGAAGTGGGATTATAAAAGGAATTCCCAGAGGACTGACTACCTAACATGAGCTGGTTGTTCCAAGGCAATGCTGTTCCTACCATTTTGGTTCAGTCTTATCTCATGAATCTGTCATCCCCATATGTAAGCACATTCCTGGATTTTGCTTTATTATTTTCTGATTACTAACTCTTTGCGGATAACCTATTATGTATTCTCCCACTGTGTCTGAGAAAAGGGTATGTAAAAACTCTTTATATAAAGACCTCATTTTTTCTTTCCATCTTACGCCCTACTCTCCAATGCATCTCTGTCTTAGTCCACTCAGGCTATAATAAATGACCATAGACCAGGGACAACAACAAACATTTATTCCTCATGATTCTGGAGGCTAGGAAGCTGAGGATTACAGTGCCAGTATGGTCAGATTCTGGTGAAGGCTTTCTTCCTAGTTCACAGGTGCCTACATCCTCATATGGCAGAGAAAAAGGAAACAGGTTTGTCTTGTCTTTTCTTACAATGACACTATGCCACTGTGAGGGCTCCAATCTCACAAACTACTTACTTCCCAAGTCTTCATCTCCAAGTATCATCACATTGGGAATTAGGGTTTTAGCATACGAATTTTTAGGAGACACAAAACAGGTGCTGTTTTATTCCATAACAGCACCTGGACTAAACAAATTATTGTACTTAAAAACTATATAAATGTGCAAACATAATAATGTTGGGTTTAAAGGATCTTCACAACAATTATAAACCAGTAAAATGTATAATTTATGCAGTTATAAAATATGTATAATTTAATCTCTAATTTAGAATGGATGGTGTTGATTATTAAAGGGGATACATGATCTTTTCAGAGTTCTGTTGCTATGGGCATAGCCAGCCTCAGCCCCAAGAAGATACCTGACATACCCTAGTGGTGAAGAGTCAACAAATTCCTACAGTGTACCAAAATTATCTTAACATTTTGACAGCAAAGCTGCAATATATGAACAGTTACTATCCTCAGTTTTCTGTTTAAGAAACTGGGACTCGAGAGGTTAAGCAATTCATCCATGATCCCACAGCAGGAAGATGGCAATGCTGATATTTATGGCAAGGACTGTATGACTAGAAAATATTCTCTTAACCACCTAATTTTGTGACTCGAGCTATTTTGCATTATTTTTTATATACTAAATATTGATTTGATAAGATTTCAGCAAAGGAGGACTCAATATATGTTAATAAAATACAGAAAAGTTGTCAAGGGAAAAGTATAAGACTTAAAGAAACTAGGAAGAATAAAAAAAGGGGTACCATAAATGAAGTAAAAAGATAAAAAATAGAGCAATAAAGAACACAGAGATGAACAAATCACATGAGGCAATAATTGTTTAGCTGAGTTATCACATCTACAAATCTGGAGCCATGGACTCAGATATGAAAAATTGATCAATTTTGAATAATTTCATCCATTACTTGTCTAATTGCTTTTTTGTATCAGACATTCATTCAAATAATCTATATAGTAGCCATAAGTACATGTTCAAACTCAACCTTGGTCATGATCATTGACTCCCCCTATTTGCACAGCACTTCATTTAATATGGATAAAACATAGTATTTCCTAGCCATCTCTGCTTGAATTAAGTTAACCTCAGTGTCTTTTTTAAAATTCAGACAATTCAAGCTCATTTCCTCATTAGCCCAAGGTTTCAGTTCTGAGCTGGCAGTGATGTAAGCTGTATCATGAATTGAAGTTCTGTAAGTTATAGAAGCAGCAGTGTAATATTGTGAGTCAAGGTAATAATGGCAGAAATATAGAGGCAAGGAAATGTGGAGAAGAACATTGCATAAGATAAAGACTGGAATAAAGGAAGATTTAAAATGATCTTCTGAAAGATAGAATAAAGGGATACATCACTATTTATGAATAGGAGTGTGCAATGACACGATCTCTGTGTTAGGAAGAACTTTTGTCACTAAGTGATGAATCTTATAGAGAGCTGGGGTATTAAAATCACATTTTCTCTTTGCAAATTTTTAATATACATTAACTAATATTAAGTATGTGTCTAGTATATTTCTGACACTTTAAAAATATTTAATTAATTTATTTTTAGGCAGAGGGTAAGGGAGGGAGAAAGAGAGGGAAAGAAACATCAATGTGTGGTTGCTTCACATGCCTGGGTACCAGGCCCATAATCCAGGCATGTGCCTTGACTGGGAATTGAACCAGCAACCCTTTGGTTCACAGGCTACAGCTCAGTCAACTGAGCCACACCAGCCAGGGCATATTTCTGACAGTTCTATGAGACTTTTAAAAAGTTAAATAAAATTTTAGCTCTTGAAAATCCCATAGTATAGTAAAAAAAAGCAAAACAAAACAAAACCCAGAAACTAAATAAATTGAGGGAGTGTTATAAATGAAGTTCAAAAGTATATGAGATTATAAGGTAAAATAATATTTTCTCACTGGTAATTTATGAACAACCTCAATATTGAATATCTCATGATTCACGTGGTCATGCTTTTTGGAACTTTTGACAAAACCATTAGTTATATTTTTATTCCACATATTAATTTATTCATTTTATCACATTAAGTTTGCAAGAATCAATTACCAAATGTGTAAAACCAATGTATTTATAATGGTACCATTTATAGAAATCAATGTTAAAAGGATTTAGGAATCTCATACATAAAACCATTGAGAATAATTGAAAATAGAGAAAGAAAAATATTGTCTGGTGGGGCAGGACAGAAAATTTGGATTAATGAAACTAGACAGAGAAAGAACACAGAGGACTTTGAGCTTCATTTCCTTACTTATGAAGAGGAAAAGCTTTGAGGTGAGTGGATTCATTTCCTTACTTATGAAGAGGAAAAGCTTTGAGGTGAGTGGAATATCAAACATTGTGTAAGAATATATGGGGGAATTATTTAAATATGTGAATGCATCATTTCTCTGAACTTCAAAAATTCTTCATCTTTTCTTACATGTAAAACTTGGAATGGTTTTGTATAATTTTGTGTATTTATCAGTTATTGTCACAATTGTTGGATTGTGAAGTCAAAAATCAAGTTAAATATGTGTGCAGTTTCAAAAACCACATTTACATAATGACATCCTTAGTGTGGGAGAGTCGGGAATAAAAACAGGACTCCTACTCAACTTTTGTGGTTATGAGGCGAAGGAACTCTATTCCAAAAGAGAAAATTAGGTGTCATTACATAAAGGGCATGAGTTTTTAAATTATTTTTTCAGTGCTTTATTAATCATAATGCTCATTAACAAAACTTTTTAATCTAGTAATTAATCTGTATATCTACCAGGAAATGTCCACCATGAATTTGAAATCCAAATGATTTTTCAAAAAACTTAGAGAATTGTACCTTCAATAAATAAATATTTACTTATATGTTAACCCATTAATAATTCACAAGGTGAACATGCTCAAAATTGCCTTAAGGAAAGTGAGAGAAAAATATTACTAACTCATAAAATAATTTATAATAAATATTGAGAAATGAAAGCTGACATTATCTTCTATGCTCTGGGTTGTTTCATAGAAGGTACAGTTTATTGTTGCTTTTATTTAATCTTTTGCTAGTCCAAATGTAGCCAACACATTTAGACATGATTAGAAAACAGGAACAATGAAAATATTAAATAACTATATAAGTGAGTAACTTTGGTATTTTTCCACAACTTCATGTGGAGTTATTGATGTTTTTAGAGTAGATCCTATCGGCAGGCACACTTCAGATTTCAATTTAGAAGAACAGAGAAAGTGTTGGTAGAATGAAGTACAGCAGGCAGAATGACCCATGAAAATGAGTCAAAACTTAATTTGAATTTTAAAATCTAAGATTTAGAAAAATAATGCATATGAAAGTAAATTTCAGCCTTACGATGTGTTGGAAAAGTCAGCACTGACTTTTGTGTTGGAATGACTTTAAGCTTTTTCTTCTTTATGATCATCCTTTCTTCCCCTTCTGCCTTACACATTAATACTCTATCTTTAAGGTGAAGTAATAATTGCCTTCAGTATTATTGTACTAAACACAGTTGTTATCTGCTTCAGAAGTGGTCCTAATCATGGCCATTTCAAAGATAGGAAAACAAAAGCCTAGAAAATTTCAATAACTTACCAAAGTCAGATAGCAAATGGTAAAGTTAGGACCAACTCAAATGCTGCCCTCACTGTACCTCAGTGAATCCTTCAACCACACTTTTTCACTCTGTCAGTTACCTTATTTTTTTCAATTAGAGTAAGACTTGACGTTTCAGGTTTGATTTCCTGTCACATTACTTTTAGTGCACACTGTGTTCTCCCATTCTCCTCCCATGTTCCATCTTTATCTCTTGTAGACTTAATAACTGTATTCTTTCATGGAGATAGACTTTCACTCATATGGTCTCAACTACAGATTCCTTATATTATGCTTTTTTATCATAGAAGTTAATATTGGATATTTCATGAAATATAAGATTAATACATACTTTGCTCTAATAATTTTGGAAATGAGAAAATTTAAATATGAAATGTATTTCAATTAAGGAATAACCTAAAACATATACAATGAACTTTGACAAACATGTGAATGTGTACGATAAGTACAATATCAACAGCTTGGGTTTTATCTTAAAAATCTTTGGAGAAAAAGGAACATATCTAATAAAGATGATAAAATATCCTTCAATTAGAGAAATAAATCTTGTGTATTTTAATTGCATAACATTTTTCTTGTTTATGTGCCCCAAATGGTAAGAGTAAAGGGTGTAAATATGATCATATATGATTTTGTCATTGCCTTTTTAATTGTGATTTACAGTGAACAGGTGAGTACAACTGTGTGTGTGTGAACATAATCTGGTCAGTATATAATATGGTTTTTAACTTCCTTTAGAGAAGATCTGTGTCCAAATTCTTTACATAGGATTTCATCCCTAATGTCAATTTTAGGATGGTGGGGCAGGGGGCCTCTGCTGTTCTTCTGGACCTGCCCAGCTCGCATGGGGAGTATAGCAGTCAATTGTGCAGGCGTTGCAATAGCCGCCAGGACATACAACTTAAAGAAGAACGAGGCCCATGCGTTGGAGTACTTCCAGCGAGTTCTCAATGTGAATCTCTTAGGTACCTTCAACGTGATCCGCCTTGCAGCTGGTGAGATGGGCCAGAATGAACCAGATCAGGGAGGCCAGCGTGGGGTCATCATCAATACTGCCAGTGTGGCTGCCTTTGAGGGCCAGGTTGGACAAGCTGCATATTCTGCTTCCAAGGGGGGCATAGTGGCCATGACATTGCCTATTGCTCCGGATCTGGCTCCCATGGGGATCCGGGTGATGACCATTGCTCCAGGCTTATTTGGCACCCCGCTGCTGGCAACCCTCCCAGAGAACGTATGCAACTTCCTGGCCAGTCAGGTGCTCTTCCCCAAGCGACTGGGTGACCCTGCTGAGTATGCTCATCTGGTACAGTCCATTATCGAGAACCCATACATGAATGGAGAGGTCATCCGGCTGGATTGGGCCATCCGCATGCAGCCTTGAAGGGAGAGGGCAGAGAAAACACAGTCCTCCTCCCTTCCTACCCTTGGCATATTGTGCTCCAGCTTGAGAGGAAGCTAGTAGCCATTTGTAACTGCCCTAGTGACCTTCCGTGCCTAATAAAGTCTCTCTTCTTACAGGGGGGGAAAAGAAAAAAGGGGGACAAGCAAGTGGTAGACACCAGTCTGACCAAATGAAATAGAACATTTTCTTGCACTTGGTGATAGCTAAGTGGTAAGTACCCAAACAAAACCATGAGATACAATGTGATACTTTGCATGGCCACTGAAAAAGAGGCAGAGACTCTGCCCAGCTGGACTTAAACCTGAAAGGTTGGGCTATTGAGAACAAACACTGTGCAGTGTATTTAGAGCCAAGACACATAGAAAAAATGTCTTGTTACAACATTTGAAGCTCTGGATCAAGCTGCACCTGAAAACTTAACAGCTGGACATTTCAGTTACATGAGGCAATACAATTTTTTGTGTTGTTGTTTAAGCCAGTTTGAATTGCATTTCCTGTCATCTGCATGAAATAATATTAACCAATGCAAAACAGATGACTTGGATACAGTGACCTTGCAAAACATGATTTATATTATTAGCTTCAAAACTCATAATTTCTAAGAAAAGGAGTTCTGTTTTGCATAGAAAATGGAAAATATTTTGGAGATGGTGGGGAGAAAACACTAGAAAGGGCAGAAGGGAACTAAATGGTAATGGAAAAGAAACATGATAAAGATGAAATAAAAAATAAAATAAAATAAAAATTCCATGTTTCTTTAAATAAAAAATAAATGAAAGTAATCAAACTATGTTTAAATTACTATATATCCATCCATGCTACCCAGAGATGTAAAGCACTTAGTATCAAGTTTATTGAATGTTAACAATATTTTTAAACCACATCAACATTTCCAAATAGCATACAACAAATACAGCCATGCATTTCAAAGTGTTTTTGATATATTAGTGCAGAAAATACATATATTTTATTTTAATCTTCAGAAGGGGAAACATCAGGGAAAATGCATGGCATTGATGCCAGAAAGGAATAGGGATACAAGTACTTGATTCATTTTGTGAACTTGGGCAATTTTAGTAGCTTTAGTTTCTTTACCCATAAGATGAGACTAAAAATAATATTTAATAGAGTTTTTGATAGAATAAAACATGGGTAAAATATATATAAAGTTCTTCATAAGTTACAAATCGCACTTTTAAAAAATAATTAAAAATGAAAAATTTATTTAAAATTAAATAAAACTTAGCAACATAGCTAATGAAAATGCAGTCTTTAAATATTTATTTATTTATTTATTTTCAGAGAGAGGGAAAAGGAGGGAGAAAAATAGGGAGAGAGACATCAATCATTTGCCTCTCACATGCAGCCAGCAGGGGACCAGGTCCACAACCCAGGCACGTGCCTTGACTGGGCCTTGAACCAGGGACCTTTTGCTTTGCTGATCAGTGCTCAACTAACTGAGCCACATCAGCCAGGGTGAAAGTGCAATCTTTAGATTCAGGCAACTGTGCCTGAATGCTAGCACTACAACTTAATAATAATGAATCTTTGAGAAATTTATTGAAATTTTCTTAAACTCTTTCTTCAGATTTGTACAACTAAAATAATAATGTCTAACTCATATGACTTATAATTATTAGGTGAGAATAATATATATGCTAAGAACCCATGTTGATATTTAGGGCACAATAGACGCTCACTAAGGAACAGTCATCATTATTATTAAACTTATTACCAGTCTTTAGCTTTATTATTTAATAAATACATGTTTTAGTGTGTATGAAATATCACAATAAGCCTTATTTTATATTTATTTATGTATAAAATTTTAAAACCTTGATTAATTAATATACATATCAATCACTTTAACATCATTGTTAATACTTTAACAAGCTAAGCTAAATAATGTAGATTTAAAAGTTTAAGATTGTAGATTATTTGGATAAGTAGGTAAAAATTTAGAATGTAGTTGAATCATATAAACTATGTTTGAAAAATATATAGTTGTTGTTTAGCAATATGACTTTATTGTTCTTGCAAAAATTACTTCATAATTATAATTGTATGCATATCAGATTTAGAGAGGACAAGAATAACTACTTCAGAATGGCATGCTGAATGAGTTTTATATTTCTTGTCTTTTATAGACTAGGATATCTATTATTTTATTTTGACAGTTATTAGAAAGTTTACATTTACTTAAATCCTGCATACTCTTCATTGGGCTAAGCATAAAGATTTTTAATTATATGAAGTTCATTTTAGATATTGGATTATTAATCATTCAGGTACAAGATTAGCTCCATTTCTTTGTTAATCTTATACCCTGGCATTTATTCATAGTAATATTACATTTTTTATGGACCATTTCATCTCATATTTTCAAAGGAGAAGTCAAGATGAGCTATTTTCTATCTTGCCCCAGCACCGAGCAGTAGGAATCAGAGGAGAGAATGATTCTGAAGAATAATCAGAATAAATGTTCAGTCAAATACTTCATAAGTCACAAAAGTGGCTTAATTGTTTTGTGCTTTTAAAATATGGAAATGGAAGAGATATAAGGGCTTTCTTTTCTTCTTCCATAATTCACAGCACATTTGTACTGTGATCATTGCAATACAATCAGAATAAAAAGACCAAATTGGTGCCAAAGAAAATAGAATGACAAAGTATGATTAATTATAGAAAAACACATATCATCATTCTAAAATTAGTTCAATTAAGTGAACAGAGAAATATACCAACTATGAACAATGGGTAATATTTCATTTTGTTTTTCTTCTCCCCTGTTTTTTTTTTTTTTTTTAATAAAATGGAGACTGATGATATACACAGGATACTCTAGTCTTAGTATGTCTTTCTCCCTCTTCATTGGGCTAAAAAAGAACAATACAAACAAATACACGAAATAAAACTAGTATATCTACCATGGTCAGGGTTTAGCTCTGAAAAGTCTTCTGCTTCCAAGATATGTGAAAGTAGCATGTCATTTTTTTCCCTAAAGTGTATATTTTATGGAACATAAGTCTGAGAATGCACTAAGAGATCTGAAGGTCCAAGAGGAAAAATGATTCCATGGTTGAATACAACTGTTTTCTTGAGTAGTCATGGTTACATTAATCTGCTGAAGATACCTAGAAATCTTTTGATTTGATAAAGACTTATTTAGCTTTGGTAACCCCACGTTTCTCAAACTTCTCTTTATATTCTTTTCTATATATCACTTTCTTCACAGATAGTATTACTTGACAGTAAAGTAGACTATGGTTTCAGAATGCCTGGGTTCAAAACCTGACTCTACTACATTCTAGATGCACCATATAGACAAGCTATATAACATTAATTATAAATAATGTGTGTTTTTTTTTTAAATTTTAAGAATACATCATTTTATATAAGGCTTGAGTATCACAAATTTTGGTGTCTGCAATGGTCCTGAAACAAATCTCTTGTGTATGGGTATGTACCAGAATTTATTCACTGTTTGCCTATTAAAAAATATCTTGGTGGCCGGGTCATAAGGCAATTCCATTTTTAGTGTTTTTGAGGTAACTCCATTCTGTATTCCATAGTGGCTGCACCAATCTGCATTCCCACAATGGTTCTCTTTTCTTCACATCCTTGCTGATACTTACTGATTGTTGATTTATTGATAATAGCCTTTCTAATAGGTGTGAGTTAATATCTTATTGTGGTTTAAAAATTTTTTAGACAGAGGAGAGGGGAGGGAGAGAGGGAGAGAAACATCAATGTGTGGTTGCCTCTTTTATGCTCCTATGCTTGCCCCTAACCTGGAACCTGGCCCACAGCTCAGGCATGTGCCCTGACTGGGAAAGGAACTGGAGACCCTTCAGTTCACAGGCTGGTGCTCAATCCACTGAGCCACACCAGCCACGGCTCTTACTGTGGTTTTAATTTGCATTTCTCTGATGATTAGTGACATTGAGCATCCTTTCATATATCTATTGGCCATTTGTATGTTCATTCTGGATAAGTGTCTATTCAAATCCTTTGTCCTTTTGTTAAGCGGATTGTTTGCTTTTTGTTGTTTAGTTTTATAAGTTCCTTATAAATTTTGGATATTAAGCGCTTACCAGATGTGTTGGTGAACATGTTCTCACCTTTAGTGGGTTGTTTCATTTTGTTGATGGTTTCTTTTGTTTTGTAAAAACTTTTGAGTTTCATGTAGTCTCATTTGTTTATTTTTTCTTTCGTTTCCCTCAACTGAGGGGATGTATCAGAAAAAATATGCTACAAGAAATGTCCGAGGTTTCTCTGCCTATGGTTCCTTTTTCTGACCCAGCAATTCCATTTCTGGGAATATATCCAAAAAAACCCAACACACTAATTTAAAACAATATATGCACTACTATGTTCATTGCTGTGTTATTTATAACAGCCAAGATTTGGAAGCAGCCAAAATGCCCGTCAGTAGATGAGTGGATAAAAAAGCTGTGGTACATTTACACAATGGAGCGCTACTTAGCTGTATAAATGAAGAAAATCTGACCTTTTGCAATAGCATGGATGGACCTGGAGAGCATTATGCTAAGTGAAATAAGCCAATCAGAGAAAGGCAAGTACTATATGATTTCACTTATATGTCTACTTTAATGAACAAAATAAACTAACACACAAAGTGGAAAAAGGTTCATGAATACAGAGAACAGACGGACAGCTGTCGGAGTAAGGGAGTTGGGGGTTCAGTAAAAAGGGTGAAGGGATTAAGTAAAGAAAATAAAGACTCATGAGCACATACAACATTATGGTAACTGTCAGAAGGAAGGAGGAAGAAGAGGAAGAAGAAGGTTTAAGGGGGGATAAACGGTGATAGAAGGAGACTTGACTTGGGGTGGTGGACACATAGTGCAGTGTACAGATGATGTGTTGTGGAATTGCTTACCTGAAAACTATATAATTTTATTAACCAATGTTACCCCAATAAATTCTAAAGAACACCTTGGTTGTTTCCAGTTTGGTGCACATTAATAAGTTCTCTTTAAACATTCATGTGCAACATTTTGTGTTGACATAGGT